AATTTTAATTGTGAGATAATTTTTCATTCCTCTCCTTTACAAAAATATTTTATATAGTTTGGTTTGAAACTACATAACTTAAGCCATTAATTATACGTTTGGGTTGAGAGAAATAAAAAAACAAAAAGAGTTGCAATCTTCTATTCTCCTTTTTATCCTTATTTAGATAAATAAATAAATTAAAATAAAAAATAAAGTAAAAGAAATTCTTCACTTTCCTTCCTCTTTAATTCTCTTGATAATCAAATAAAAAAAAATTCATCCTTCTATCATTTTCCCTCGGCTCAAAAATATTGTTAAAAAAATAGTACTTTCCTCTTTTAAGGAAAAGGTGCACTTTCAACCACATCCCATCTCTAATTTTTTTTTTTTTGTTGCCAAATATTTTTAGTATTGATTTTTATTACCAATATCATATTAAGAATATGTATATATATATATATATATATATATTGTAATTGGTTACCTGTTAAAATATCAAAATTTACCATTAAAAAAAATCAAAATTTACTGGTAAAAAAATCTTCTACCATCAACATACCCATACTTGCCAAATTCATTTGATACAATTTTTTCATTTGTAAATTTGAATATGATGTAACTTGGAGAAAGAAATTTCAATTTTCAATAGAAATATCTTGAGTATTTATGAAAGGTCATATCTTGAATGAAATAACTTTAAACTTAAGGTTTTTAATTCAAAATTTTATTTATATACTTTAAAATTTTACTTGATTTGAAAGAAAAAGATAATACCAAAAAATTATTGTAATTGTCATGATAGCAGTGGTAATGAGCCCCTTCTGCCATTACCATGCTAAGACAGATTGGTAATTACCAATCACTTCAAGGAATTAACATGCTTATTATTTTATCATGTTGTTATTCTGTTACATAACATAATAACACGATAATATAATTGTCATGATGTGATAGTATATACTTCTATATATCTATTTAAAAAAGAAAAAAAAATGGACATCTTTTGTATTTTCTCAAACACCATTAATGACATAAATAACTTGCTTTTAAAAATTGTTGAGTCTTAGGTAGCCTAAGAGAAAATTTTCTTTCTAAAAAGGCTACCAAAATCATGATGACAAAGGTTAGAACCCTCTGCTCCCCCTCTTCATTCCCTTTCCCTTCCCCCTTTTGAGAGTCAGTCACTTATTCTGTGAATGTAAAAAACTTGCTTTAAAAATTAAAGAGAAGCATATTTATACCTTTATTTTTAAAAAGAGGACCCCTTTCATGCCTCGACCTAGTACCTACTTTCAACAAAAATGGAATACTTTTTATCCTTTCACTAACACCATTAATGAAAGCTTGCATGGGCAGGAGGGACAGAAAATTGAAAGAGAGAATTGGCTGGAAGGTTAATTATATGGTTTGCTATGATTTGGTCCCAATGGTTAAATAGGAATAGGATTGTTTGTAGCGATGCTCAGCATGATGTAAATAGGCTGTTGGAGATGGTTCAGTTGAGGTAATATCATTGGACAAGGGCATTAGAGAAAATATGGTTCTTGATTACATAGTTGTGGTTAAATGGGATAAAATTTTGTACGTTTTCATTTATGGATTGGATAATTGGCTGTCGAATCCGAGAGAGCGCCTAACGATCTTGTGAATGCTGGCTTATAACGGCATTAGATAAAATATGGTTCTTGATTATGTATGTGAGTATCATTGTATAAGGTTTCGAGAACTTGGAGTATCCCTTCTAGTTGGTTTTTTTTTTTTTTTAATGAATAGAGTATCCCTTCTAGTCTAGTATAAAAATTTTTCTTAGTTAAAAAAAAAAAGAAAACAATAATGAAAGCATTAAGTGAGGGATGAAAAATGTCCCGCTTGGTCAAAAGTTCCTATGAAAAATAGTATATGCTTAACCCTTTCATATAATAAAGTACGAGTAATGGTTTTTAGAATTAAAATTTAGGATGAAATTTTGAGAAAATTTATTTAATTTTTTATTATATAAATTTATATGAGACTCACACTATAATAAATGATTTTCATAAATTTATTTTAAAATTTAAGTCTAAAAATTAGTTCTAATATCATTATTTTGAAAGTAAATATAAGGAAAATAAATATTAATAAACATAATAAATGGTTTTGAAAGCTATTAGAAAATACAAATTCTTCCTCTTTAAGGAGGACATTAAATATATATATATATATATATATTTGGATATTAAGGGTACTCCATCTAAAACAGATAGAAGAAGCCTACTAATCTCTTCTGTATTCTTTTTCTTTTCCTTTTTTTTTTTTT